AATCCAACGGTAACCGTCTGCTTCACATTATTACTTCTGGTTGTGTCATTATGAACATCATTCAGACACCATAATCATTTTGTTTGAATATATTGTTTCGGGAATAAATCTGTTAATTAATTACATCCTAAAATTCCATGCAGTATGAAACATATTGCTTGGAATAAAAATTATTATTAGTAGTAGTATACTGCATCGATATTATGGATCTCTATTGACACATAGATGCATCTGTGGATGCTTCATTTTTACCTGAAGATTGATTATGTTATAAGTGGCTTGAAAATGGACGTACCTATATCCCAGTTAGTACACGTGAGTCAGTTCATCTTGGCCCCCACTGCTAGACATCCGCAAGTAAATCGTCCACAGCCATGCATAAACACTATTCAAATATAGAAGACTCTCTACAAAAATTATTAATAAGATACAGAAATCAGTCAAAATTTATTCACTAAGAAGATATTTAACTTTTTTAACGCCAAAAAAGGCAGAAACACATTCATTACAAACACAGGAATAAAGGAGAGTTCCATCAGGGAAGGGTTTTGTCGACTAATTATTATTTTTAATCTTGAATTTTTACTTGTGATAACAATGGCCTCATTAATTTCTATTACTACTACCGTGTTACATTGTGTTTCAGAGTTAGATGTATGAAGTCGATCAAAAAGAAGCGTTACCCACTGGCTTTTAACGCCTAAAAGGATGTTATTTCCATCTTGGTGAATAGCAGTGGAATTCAAGACGCACGGTTGACGCGATGAGTACTGGGTTCCAGTCTCCGTCGGAACAATATCCAGGCTCATCTAGCTGATGAATTTTTACAGGATGAAACGCGGGTTCTGAATTATACTGCTAGTCACCAAGATGAATGGAATATCATGAATATCCGGTGGTATCGAGACATCCGCATAAGAGCCCATCTGGCAACAGAGGTTTAACAGTCCAACTGTGTATTAGAACAGGAAATACCAAGTACCAAACAACGTCTAACAGGATGTTTTATTTCTTTTGTCGACTGGTAAAAAGAGAGTACGATGACGATGAATGAAACTAGTTAACTCCTAGTCAAGGCATGACTAAATGTTACGTACATCAAAATTAGCAGCTCTACTCAACAAAACTTAGAGGTTACCGAAACAACCTAACTTCTTGAACGACAGTGATTACTCAATGACTTTTTATCTATAGATCTCAATTGATTCGCGATAGGTTATTGACTATTCACTGGTCATGATTTTAGCTGGACAAAAGTTCACAACAAGGACAATGATATCATAGGAACAACGCATTTCTAACAGCATTTTACTCTTCATTTATTACCAACCGATGTAGATGAAAGTCATTTAAACCAAAAATTATTTCATAATAATGAAACTTGAGGTGGATAAAAACTATATTATCAGTCTTTATCACCTAAATAACGTACTAAGTTCCTTTCGGTTTGCCTCCCTTTCATAAAAGAAATTAAACATGAATAACAGTCACAACAATAAGACGAATATAATAATAATAATAATTACTTTCCATTTTAGTCTGTTTATTAGAAATATCACATAGTGAAACAGTATCACTTACTGGACAACTTTTCGGACATAATTTATTGTCCATATTCATATCACTTTGTTCCAGACGGTAACTTTCAATACACATTGATATGATTATGAGCAATAATTTATGCTCGAAACGTTAAATAAATAATACTATATCACTATGTGTTATAAATCAAATAAACAAATCTGATACAGAATTAAATTCTACCACAGTGCCCAAGTTTTACACGTATATTAAAGATAACAAAAAATTACTGACTTTTAGTGCAGTTTAGAATTCTCAGTGTGATATTTCAACAAATTTACCCCTAATTTGCTTGGTTGTGACTAGCAGAAGAATCCAGGACGCACGTTTCGTCCTACTTGGGACTCGTCAGTTGGATGTGCCTGCACCTCAGTGACTGATGTTGTTCCCACTGAGACTCGAACCTCGTATCCATCGCTTCAAACAACAAAGCGTTATGCACTATGCCACGGAGGCATTTTAGCAGCTTCTTGTACATCGCGTATTAGTTATTACTATTTATTGATGTACTTGTTGTTCTTCATTGTTTTATTGGATTGAATAGTTCGACCTTTATTGGCATATGGGCTCCTATGCGGGTGCCTCGATATTGCCTGAATGGTGATTATGATAATTTACTTCTTGTACAAAATTTTCAAATTAAAAATCCATGCCAGTTAAATAATGTTAGCAATAATAGTATGGTAGGCAGTTAAGGACGATATCCAGTAGTTTTTAGGTCATCATCTAGTTTTCATGTTGGTGCATGTAGATTAGGTAGAAAAGAACACGCAAGTTCGGCGATGGAGCTTCATTCATCCAGTAAGAAAATTTGCTGTTCCAGCTACGTATTCGTGTAATACCTATATGATGCACTATTGTGCCTTCAGGAGTCAACTGCTATCTACTGTGATATTTTCTCGTAGTCATGTTGTTAACTTGTCTAACTACAGGTTGAAGACATTTGAAAAGTGAGCGACAGCATGTTTTACGGTTTGTTCACATACGAATGGTTAAAACAAGTAAAACATGAGCAATCTGATCAAATATTTTTGGCAGCCCAAAATTCAAGCAAGTCACACAGTGAGTTATTACCTAAACACCTTTGAATTACTTCCCAACAAAACTAATCCTAAGCTGATCTACTTTCTGAATGTTTCAGTGACTTTAGTAAGTCTGTTTCAGTATGCACTTTTGTTGAGTGTCATTCAAACATCATGTTTCCATAAATCAATATATTGGTGGTATATATGATTCTATATGAGCACTTATGTTTGTTTGTATGCCTTTCAATGATAGACTGCATATCGCTGATAGTGTTCTTTATTTTCATCGCACACATGTCCAGGCAGAAGTTTTACCAAGTTTGAAAGTCATTTGAATGTGAATGACTTTGTTGACTACTTTTCTGAGAAATGTTTGGTTTCTTTATGAACGTAATATCTTCTTGTTGATTTAACTGAACTCTGCAATTGGTGTGTTTCTTTCTAAATAATCAGTGAAGTAAATTCATGTCCACCTGTTGGTTGACATACGTTTCAGTGGAAGAAGATATGTCAAAAAATACCTTTAAAGGTTTTGAATTTACTTATTGCAGAGGTCTTCATTGTATTAATCTTGTCTACCTCTGGTAATGATCGATAGTGGTATATCTTATAGTTTATTTGCAAGCCTGTCCTTAGAAATTTATCAAGTTAATCGATCAATAGAATGGCTGACATATAAGCTTTGACAATCTCTACACTTGACTTGAGACACTATTTTTGTTTCAGTAGTTAGAGTATGTAGTACAATAGCCTTTGATGTAGACGAGGCGACAACCGCTTGAGCATCACCCACAAAGTGACTGCATAAATGTAAAATTTAAGATGTCATCTTTAGTATATACGACATGATTAAACCTCTTTGTCTGCTTTCCGGTAATAGTCTATCCATCTCACACATTGGTTTAAAGATTAGCAGCAAGCATGACTTGCTTATCATCTTGATAAATCTGCAGAAGTGTGCCAAATTAATCATTTGGAGATTAATTCTTTAGCTTAGGAAATGTAACTCTGTATTACACTGTAAAATATCACTTGACTACTACTTTGTGTAACATAGTATTTCTCGATAGTAAATTTGAATAATTAGGGTTCTCGGCAAAATTGTTTAGTTCTTAATGAAATAAACGCAGTTTTCGTAACATTTCAGTACATTTAACTTACTACATGATAGTTAGTATCGCTTCTTGATACGAGAACTTTATCTGTACATTATTAATCTCCCTTAAGACTCTCAAATCGTATTTTGCCACCATCATTTGTTTTATAGATCTTTTCCTGTCGACTGATTTGAACCAAACAATTAGAAAAGCACAAGAATTTATCACCAATAGATAACCGGTGTAGCTGTATAGTCCTGAGTGGAAAACATTGCTCTTAGTCTATTGACTGAGTTTTCATTGTGACCACCACTGTGTTACACTGTATTTTTGCTAACGAAACTTAGGTCTACAACTTCTTGACAAGTGACTGTCAATATCTGACAGCGAAGTTAGAAAAGTGTTGACAGGAAAGGAAGCCATTGCTCTTCTTTCTACTGACATACTGTGTCACATAAATATGAGGTTACAGGATCAACACCTTGTGCTACTGAAACTGTTACAGGATTGGTTGTCTAGCATGAGAAAACAAGGTTCATGCCCGCATAAGTTCTACATGTTATACTGTTAGTCAATTTTCTTATTCCTAAACAGCTGATGTTTGTTTTGATGCTCAATTGCAAAATGCAATGCTACATTTCTGAATGAACTTAGGGGAAAGTTTGTTGTTCCAAAGGCATTGATTTGGAAAAAAAACATTTTACAACTACTAATTTAGCCCTATTTGGGAGTCATCATCTGGATTTAACTGCATATCAGTGAGCGATGATGTTTCCAATGAGATTTTAACGCGACATCTATTGCTTCGGTTCAGATCAGTTACCAACAAAAAATTACAACTATGAGTATAATATTTAATTAATATGCACTTGACTTTCAAGCAATGGTTTACGAATTCGTCACTTGTACACACACTGAGGTTTGGGCAGACAGATGGTATCATTAGTCTTCACATAATACTTGTGGCACATTGCCTATCCACTGCACAAATGTGCACAAGGTTTCTGAGTGATTCTCTTTTTCTTCGTTTCTTTTCGATCTCCAGCCTTTTTAATATTTTTTCTCCTTCTAGTTGCTTTTGGCTGATTAACTGACACAAAGCGACAAACCATATTATCACACTCCATATCTTAAAATTCTCCCCATTTCCAGCTGGTTTATGAAAAGTTTGAATCATTTAAGCATAATTCATTTTCTTACTCAATGTAGTGATATGTATCATATCGAAATTTTAATTGAACCCATGAAAAGTGAAATGTAATAAAATTTCTTCACTTCTGACATCTTTCATTGTCAGGTTCTTTTGATGGTAAAACAGTTGAACACACCGGTGCAAACTTGCATACATGTGACAACAATAATCCTTCTGGACCTCAGGTAAGTATTCACAATGTGAAATACATATGATTGTTAAAATAAGTAGTTGAATTCTAATATTTAACTTATAATTAACGAAATGTTTTTAAAATGGAAACTGTGTTTTGGTGTTACAACTTTAGACTGAATCTTATTTGTTTTGTGTGATAATTAGCTAATTCTGAGCAACAAATAAATTTTCTGATGTGTTTCGGTAGTCACGAATGTTAAATTCACGAATTCTTAGCCGTCCTGTTCAAATACTTAATATTAAACGAAGTGAGGGGTGTTATCAAGTCACTCCACTTTACAGATAGAATGAAAATACCACAGATACGAAGCGGTCAGTAGTGAGACTAATCGATGGAATATTGTTTATTAGCAAGTGATTAACTTAAGCAATAACTCTCTAACAACACATTCTCCTTGAAATTTTCAAGGTTACTGATACGTTGTGTAGACTGAAAGTGGAATGAAAACCTAAATGGACACTCCTGGATTACTGACTGTGCTTTCCACCAGCTGAGTAACTGGACTCATCTGCTCACCAGGTCTTGACTTCGCTTCACTCAATAAAGATTTTTCTTGACTGTTATGTGAATGTGTATGACGAAAAATATCCCGTGAAATTAAGACCTTGTCTGCACGTGCGTCTCATAACTCATTTGGTAGACCGGTAGACCGGTAATACGGAAACCATGGCGAAGGTTTTTGGCCTCACTTTTAATGGTTACTGTGTATCAGTAACACCATTGTGCCATACTACGGCAATCTCAGGTAACCCTTAAAAAAGTTTAGAAGTAAACGAATACAATCTACAATAATTTACCACTTAAGAAATGACAACTCAGTGTAATTCCCTAAGTTTTCACCTTCTTCCAGGGAAGCACTGGTTATTAAACATATTTATTTCAGAAATTTACAATCAAGTCGTATTCATACTATAAAAATCTAGTCAATCACACTAGTTTAACATTCATGTGATGGTTTGGTCATACTGAAAAGGCTTAAAAAGGAAGTCAGTTAAGGAAAATCGATCTGTTCAGAAGGGTAAATCAGAGGTCATATGAGGTCAGTTAGAACTGTGATTATTTATGTCACATGACATGTACAATGTACAAACTAACATTCCACAATGCTCTGTCACATTCTTCAAGTTTAAATGTTATTATTATCAGTGAAAAACGGTTTGCATAGTTTTAATTCTCTTCTGTTTGTTTTGTTATAACAATCAGGAATTTTTGGATAAAGACAAAACCATTTCTCTTGCTTATTTTGTTGTTCGTCTAACAAAGAAATATCTGGTAACCAACTCCTAAGATTTAATAAGCCTGTTTCTTCAGTCTTACTCTATCTTATCCCTTTATACTGTGGCGTTTATCGCAATGGTTAAAAGTTTTCCATATTCCTTATCTTGGTGGTGTCTGTAATCTTCCTTTTAGTTAGGTTCTTGAATATTCTGACTAGCCACAATCGGTTACACGTGTGAAACTAAATTATCCAGGTGTTTCTCAAACCAGTGCAACTCTAAGAGAACAAACGTGTTGCCCACCGTTTAGATCATTTTTGTCTGGTTATATAAATTTACAAATAAGCCTGGGCGACTTTTGACTAACCATGCTATTCAGTAGTACATTTCGATATCCTTTTCATATAATTTAGCTAGAAAGATTTTGTATCGAATCTTGGTGCTGTTAAAAATATTGTAGCAGATTTCGAGTTTTGTCTTACCCCTGCTAATCACACTCTATTTAAATTCCTGCGAAAGCATGACTAAACATTAATTAGAACATCTTATTCCCTAACTTTGACTGGATAATCCTCTTAACAGATTAACTAAACGCTTTTCAGACAATGCTACTTAACATAGAGTGAGATCATTTAACTGTATTTATGAAGAGATTTATCTGTCTGTTGTTGTTCCAGCACTGCATATTTATTGCCCAGCTTATTCTCTCGGATAAAGGACAAACATCTTCAGTATGATGCCTTCTTAACTACATTCGTTATCACTGGTTGTATGATTCAGTATGTTGCCTACGCTATTGGTGCTATTCCTGTTAGCATGCTAACTTTAAGACCATCAGATAGTGAGTTCAAGTATAGCTGCAACCCAGGCATAAAATGACTAAATTTTGGCTTGGTTCTGAGAAGAATGAAACGATCACCGTTGACTTATTCACGATTTCCCCAATTCCAATGTTAACCACTATGTTAATTAATTTCTACACTAAAATTGACTTTTGTTCTCTCTTATGTTTATACGAAATGGTCCAATTTTAATTCCACAAACGTTGTTCGTCTATATTTTGAACGGTTTTAAGTAGGACATAGTGAAACCGTTAAGGACTCAGATAACTTTTAGGGTGAAGTGCATTCAAGGTCAATTACTGAACGTTAATTGTCCATCTTTATAATCCCCTACATTTAACTGATATTATCGAATTAAGACATTTTGTGTAAACCTTCACTTCCTTGGTCCATCTTCGGATGATATGTTAAATATATTGTTATTTCAGTAATTCTCTAGAACTCTCAGGTTTGGTTCAGCTTCCTTTTTTATTCTCTTCTAGCCTTTTAGTGTTATGATACCTGTACTATTTTTTCTTACATGGTTGTCTTACTAAATAATACGTCAGGAGTTATATTCTTAGGTTTCAACTGAGTCACACTTCCGTAAGGCTATCCTTTCTCCAAATCTGCTGTTTCTCTTACAATTTTCAAATCCTCCTCTTGTAGCAATAATAATATAACTTGTGGGATGAAATAAAGTAAGATTTAGGATAAATATGCTTGACAAAGGTATGGATTTTATTTCGAGAACAGGAATGGGTTACTTATTGTGCAGTCGAACTGCGATTGAGATGAGCTGAATGGTTCGAACACCTTGTTCTCAAATACATTTTAAACGACTTACTATAGCTGAAAATATCTGTTCAAGTTAGTCACAAGTGGCTAACCAATATAACCCTTAAGTCTTAAGTGTTCAGCAGTGGTCAGAGTTCTCACAAAGTCATCAAACAAGTTCATAAACTAATCTATGTGACGAAGCTATCAGCTTCACAAGAAGTAGACTGATCTTTATAACTGCGTGTTTCTCTCATACCCATTTTCTCCATTAATGGTAGTGATAGTTATTTTCATTTAAAACATCTAAACTAGTTTCCAGAGCATGTATATAAAAAGATAATGACTGGATAAGTAGACTAGTCACACAACTGAACTACGCTTAACTCGAATTATCTGTACATATTTGGTAACTGTGATCCATGGAGAAATAAAAATAATGGATTACAAAAATAATCATGGAATTAGATTTCATAATTTTAATAACAGTATTAGTTGGAGCGGTAAAAGTTGAACAGTTAGAGAAATGGGTTACGTAAGATTAAAAATCCTTCGTATTATGTAAACAGCTTACAAAGCATGAATAACAGAATTTAACAAAAACAAAATGAATGTTTAATTTTGTTACACTTATTGGAGCAATTAACTGAAATAACCTAGGAACGTATTCAATACAAAGATAATAATAACACTCACTATGTATAAAAAGGAAGAAATCTGAAGAACAAAAACATATAAAGTGGAGGTCAGTCTACAGACAAAGATTTTACACACTTCTTCAGTACACAGAGGCATCAGTTCACTAATAGCCAAAGCCTTTGGTATTTTACAGAAATTAAAAATGAAGAAGTTGGATAACCTAAATTAAGCAGATGTAAAAGATCGAAACTTGTTAAGTCCTTCGTTTCATGCCTTTTGAAATCAGGCTGCAATGAAAACTGGAAGTACTACTGAATTTTTCAGTCAACTTCTTATGTATAACTATTTGAAACAAATCGAAGGTGATTATTTTCTTCTTAACTTCTGTCAACCAAAGTGTGCTGTAAGCGTGTTATCGAATCCCAATGCTAAGGTCTGCTAGAAGGGTAAACAATGTTGAGAGATATTTCAAAATTTTGAATATTTTAGTTCGTCCCACATACACACTTAAATTGGCTAATACAATGCCATCTGACTTCATCTTTCACTTTCAAAAAGAGTATATAGGCTTCGAATTTTCAATTATTCAAATCTTAGCTGCATCATATGTCATATTGATCTTAGCACTAAGTCTCCGTTTAACTATCAAATCATTCGCATCACCAATGTATGGTAGCTTGATGAATATGTATTTCTTAAGGACAGAGTAGACAGTATTGTCTAAAGTTTGTTCTGCTTCATACCGACTTATAAATTTCGTTTGATGGTTGTTCTCAATTAGTGTCTTCGCCAATAATTTTGTCTCTTCTTCCAACGTATCGGCGGTGCATATTCATTGCAATCGATTGTACAAGAACCATACTAAACCTCGTTTGTAATGGACAGGACGGAGACCTTCACAGATTATTTTATTGATCCACCTTACCGTCAAATGACTAATAAATATAAGAAAGATATGCAGTGATCGTTTTCATCTACACTGGTTAATAGTATACTATCCTGTACTTCTTTCATTCGAATCAGAACTGAATTAGCATAATATGAACCGTTACTTAGGATCAAGATATCATTTACATATCTTTTATAAAAGGAAACTTTTTCAATTAAATCATCAGATTACTTTTCAACATACGACATTTAAAAAAGGCTACTCAATGGGCTTACCATAGTTACACTACCAAACTGAAGTAAATATCCCCTCTCAAATGTAAATTTTACATTGTTACTACATAAAATTAATAAATGTTGTAAATAAGGCAAAGGGAATGGAATTGAAAAATTATTAGTGGAAATGAAATCGAACAAAATGTCAATTGTTTTGACCTAAAGAATATTAGTGGAAAGTCCAATCGGACTGTTGCATTTTATGATAAACTTATCATCTACTTACCTTTACTATGGAATACCACAAACAACAACTATATGAAGACGCCACATGCCAGCCAAGTAATTCACAATGGGAAGCTCAGTGATGCTTTTGAAGTGAAGACAGGAAGGAGTGAAACAAGGTTGCCTACTATCACCCATGATATTCC